ACACACACACACACACACACACACACACACACACGCACACACACACACACACGCACACACACACACACACACACACACACACACACACACACGTACTCTGTTTGAATCCTGATGGAGTCAAATGGACAGAATAATGTTAAGTGCTATGATCCCCTCTTGACTCTTGACTCTTCACTCTTCACTCTTCACTCTTCACTCTTCAGGTCCGAAAGAAACACCAGGTCCTCATCTGTCAGCCTGTGATCAATTCTTCTTCAATCTGTCTGGGAAGAAACACTCCCTTTTTTTCCTATTTTTCTTTTTTTTTCCTCCCAACTTCCCAGACAGAGGGAAGAAACTCTTTTTTTTTTTGTTTTTTTTCCCCTCCCAAGTGTGCTCCAATCTATTCGTGGGGAGAAGGACGTGCTGGGAACCGGGTCCAGTGTCGCACATGAAAACATCTGTAATAGAACTGTTTGAGAAACCGATGCCATTACATTACCCGGGCTTTGGCTTAAGAATACGCTGCATGACCGTGAAGAACTGCTCTGAGTTGCAAAAGGACTTCAAGTCTTGAGAAAACTGTGAATCCTATGGAGTTACTTCTGAAATATCAGAAAGCAACCTGCAATCGCCATCATTTCTAAATGTCAAATACCATGCAAAGCCCACCAAAACAATCCTTTTCTCTGCCAGGCTCTTCCAGAACTCGTACACCCTGCCAGCCTGTTAGGTTACAGAATAACACGAGTTACCGAGCTCCGCCCAGAGTTGTCCCAACAGGAACCCCACAGCTGATGCCGGCCTCGAAACAACCCCAGATGTCTCCACAACGCCTCACGCCCCCACCAACAGCAGGGTACAGGGCAACACCCCAGCTCCGACCAGCGTCGTTCTTGCGTCAGGCAGCCACAAATCTTGAATGTAACAGGGTTAACTTTGTGGAAAATGAAAATGCCAAGCAACCTTTGAAGCCATCAACCCAAAAAAAAGGGACAGAACTTCACAGAAGGGAAACCTTTTTAAAGAAATAGAGAAGTCAGATAGTGCCCAAAGATTCACCTGAGACAGTCCTATAGGTTGTCAGACCATGGAAAAGCACAGGTCCCAAGCGAGGGTCCTAATACAAGGGTCAGTAGGCAGCCTAGGGTTTAGGGTTTTAGCAAGGAGTGCAACAAATACAGCCCCATAGTGCGCAGCTTACACGGATTTCACCATAAGCGGTCAAAAAAGATCAGATGCTTGCAATGGCTGACTGTTTACGCAGCCCTGCCGGTGAATCAATGGCTACACATTAGACGGAAAACCACAGACCCAGACAGTTCAGAATTATGTGCTGTCGGTACCGAAGGCTCGGTAGAAGATATAGTCCACTGCCTAGTCCTCTGTAAAGAAGCAATCGAATACTGGGCGAGAGCATCTTCACTCTGGAATTCCCTCTTCTCTTCTCCTTTCCCCAAACAACCCATTCAACTGCTCCTCTCGACTAACATCCCTGACCACGCTGGAAGGCTGAGAGGACCTGGTTTGAATTCATCAGAAAGGTGACCCTATGGGTTATATGGAAGGAGAGATGCAGTCGAACAATCGAAGGACTCTCCAACCCACGGGAGAAAGTGTGGATAGAAACTAAAATAATGATTCAAGCCGAGAGCCTGTGCAGATGGCGGAAGATCAAGCGAGCCTGGTCCGAAGACGAAGAACAGCGGAACAAGGAAAGGCAGAGATTCTACAGGAGCTGGCTGGTGTATGGCAAGATTGGAGAACTGCGACAAGACCTGATATGCTGGAAAGAATGGCATAATTCAAATCCAGGAAGGGGTTCCCAACATCAGACGTCGCTGGAAGGTGTTAGCACGTCCTAGGCTGCAACATAACCTAGGGGATATACACGACGGGGAAAATGAGGACAAGTCTGATAACTCTGGAACATGTACGGGGATCGCAGAGTAGGACCTCATCCCAGGAATTCGGAAGCCTACTAGCTCCTGTCAAGACCCAATTTCGATGTTCTGACGATAGGATTGCAGACTGAGGGCGTAGGTCTCAGTGCTAACTGTCGGCCATCCGAAGGGGGGGCGAAGTGGCTCAGGGGAAGGACCAGGTTGGGTAAGACCAACAGGTGGGATCTTTCTAGCTCTTATTGCTTTATCTGACAGATCTGGAGTCTGGATCTGAGAGGAAAGAATGGGACAAGGCAAGCTGACAGTCAATCCTCCCGTGGTGGAGCAATCAATGCTGCTCAGGGGTCCTTCGGCCTGACGGAAGGAAGCGTGTGTGGTTGTCAATTGTTGTAATTTATTTTGATTTGCCGGCAGAATAGGAACCGGACTGATGCTCCCCAGAATAGAAGGAGTCAGGTCCAAAAAAAAAAAAAAAAAAAAAAAAAAAAAAAAGAAAGTTGAAACAACTGAAAAACAAATGCGCAAATCACCACATACGAGGCGTGGAATTAGCAGAGACGTTTTACCTTCACAATGCTAGGTAAGAACAAGATTAAAAAAAAAAGAGGTAAAAAAGAGGTGAACAATATGGTCCCCGGCCTCAAATTTCGAATTATTAATGAAAATGCCAGTTTCTTTAGGCAAGACTGAAGTGCAAGGAATACGAACGAGAGCGATATACAGAAAACCAGATTGCAAATTTCACGCAGGAGTCCAGATAGTCATGTACAAGCAAACAGTTCAAATGCACAAAGATTCCATCCAAATAAGAGCAATACAATGAACTCGTGAGCCTTCAGGCCTGAAGGCTGGTGTTCAAGCCTTCAGGCCACACCAGCGCAGTATTCAATGTTGCTACTCTCTGTCTGGCGCCCAGCGCCCAGCCTACTCTACTTGCCTACCTAGCCTATCTACGTTCATACAACAGGCTCACTTTGACCTCGAAGACCAAATTCAATGTACATGTCCT